GGAGTCAGCTTCATCATTACTGATAGCTTAGCAGATGTGACGGTAAATGCGATAAAGTAGACGATAAGTACACGATACAAATATCAGAGTAAAATGTACGGACACGAAATTAGTACAAAATAAACAAATTCATAATCGCAAAAGAAACTGAGGTTGGCAAAAATAAGCGCGAAAATTCTGCACTGCACAAAGTACTGAACAATGTAAATTGGCCTATCAAATAATGTCGTTTTACCAGTGTTAACCGTGAGTTCGAAATAGGCTGCCACCGTCACACATCGCAGCCCACCCTATCTGATCAAACTGAAGCAACCTACTATCTTTCCTACTCGGAGGTGGTAGGTGGATCTTTGGCTAATAACCATCGTGCGGCGCTTAGTAGGACGTGATAGAAAGAAATTGAACACACTAAGCGAGGTGGCAGTTGGCGGCTGATTAAAAACGTACTGCGTTTTTTCCCAGCAGAGATATCATCCGTAGTTTCTTTACCAAGCTGCAAATTAGTCCGCATATTGCCGGTCACAAGACGTCAAGATTTACTATGGGGAACTCGGTGAACAGCGAGCTTCACAGCTGGTCACATTCGCTTCGCTACTCCGATACTTGACAAGCCATACCTACTGTCCTGTGTCCTGAGCTAAATCAGCCTCGTACGTACGCACTTAACTGTTGAACGTAATTTTTGCAGGTACTTTTCTGATGGAGCTTGACAAGTTGATGTCACCGTCGGTGACATCTTGCCGTTTTGCACTTGTAAGATGTGGGCACGGGTGTAGCTTCCAGGACTTCTCACTGTCTACTACTTTGACGTCAGGTACTTCTGCACACTCGTTCGTGTTCAGGTTACATTGTGGAGGCAATGATGAGCTGGTCACAGATTGATTCGTCACGTGTCCTAACCACCAGCCGACTGTGTCACAAAAGTGACATCGCCCACTCAGGTACTTCAGTACTCAGAGGGCATCCATTCGACATGATTATTTTCGACACGCACGCACGCACGAATGCACGCAACGAAGCACATGCACTTATGCACTTAATTGCATCCTGCATGCAGACAGCGCACGAGCCTTTATGCAACTGTCCAAATATGGACATGATGATGCATTTGCATGACTGAAGTGATCCAAATTGATCTATGGACTGACAGCTCGGCCTCCAGCCGTCTTCTAGTGGGTTGCTTTCAATGCTTCTCGTGAAATTTATGGCACCAAGACCAGTTGATGCTCGGTGGTGACAGTTCTTCGGTGTCATCAGAAAGACCCGTGAATGCGTGTCAGAGCAAGAGACTAGTGTATTTTTTGTCCGGTCACATGGACAGTTTGGTACAATCTGTCTGATCGAGTCTTGAATGAGGTTTTAATTGGGAATCTTACGCACCTTATCTAGATTAACCAGCATGTTGTGACTGGATCCATCTGGTTTGCACATAGGGTCGAGGGACTGCGCCCTGTTAAAAGCTCATCCACTACTTTGTGTTGCTGTCCGAGTATCTGTTAGGTCTGTACTTTTCACAAAGCATGTGACGCTCACGTAGCCTAGGTATCAGTCAGCTCCAGATCACGTGACCATGGAAAGTCGACGGTGAGGGATTCAATAAGCGTGACATATCCAACACGTTAGCGTTCATCGCCGAACTCGATTACCTGTTGAACGCTTTGGCTTGTGTTTAAACAGCTTGAACACTCCTGCTATTGCAGATGTGACCATGGAATTGGGATATTGCAGGCTCATTGTCATTCCTTGACTGCTTATTTCGTAGGAACGGTATGGTCGGTATATCGTAAACCGACGGACACACCATAGTTCAGGTCACCTAAAGCATGTGTTTGCTAGGCTCGTCTTATCTGTTTCCCAGAACCCAATCCCTGTGCACATGTATAGGAAGACCACACTGAAGCAAACAACGAACCAGTCGCTTCATGCCCGAGGCAGTTAGTGAAACGCAAATCGCAATTTTAAATCCGCTTCCATGGCGCACTACGGAGTGGGTTGGGACGGTAGGAATTCCTTATAAAGTGGGAACTTCGGAGGCCATCCGGAGGGTGAATTTCCAGAAGGACCAAACTTTCCGTTTGCCACTAACATACTGGAGGGACTCACTTCCCGCAGATAGCACAACTAATTATGTATATATAATTAGTTGCACGGATTGTGCACACGTGTGCATAGGACAGACTGCAGGCGATCTGAGCACGAGGATAGCAAGCGCAAAAATCACGTCACTGCCACCGAGGAACGAGCGTGAATATCTGGCTGTACCAAGCGATTCGAAGGTAGCGATGCATGCGCCAGACAAAAGTCATGTAATCGACCTGGGTATTATCCAGATCATTGCGAGGGGGTTGCGGTCAATACTTCCAAAGGCTGATCGCTGAGCAGTGCAATTCACCAAGGTCAACAGTCGCGTGAACCGAATGGGCGTGCTGGGGCCTTCGAACATTTGGCGAATTGTTTTAATCTGACCGGTTTGTGGAGCGTTGGCGACGGATCCAGGCCAGCATGTGAACATCACTCACCCCCACTTACAGGGTTGATGACCTCGTAAGGTGAACCACTTGGAAGTTCGATGAACCGCTTGAAGTGAAACCTAGACCACTAAGGCGACTACCTTTCGGTCTAACTCCTAATCGTCGTGAACATTTTCCCGGTTCGCTGCAAGTGCTACACCAATCATGCACTGGTTCACTCGGCTTGACGATGGTTTTGTGTCAATAGTGCCATCTGCTCAAATTACACAAACCTGTTGTTTTAAACCCTTCTGATTTCATGAGTTCTCGAGCGATTCCAAACACTTTTCAAGATGTTGACCTGAGGATAGAACTCCTTGCGTGTGCCGCTTGATGTATTATTTCTGCTTGGAAGCTGATTGGCTGGACTGCTCTGGTAGTTAGACCACAGCAGAGTCTGGCCACGACGATTTCAAGTTATAGCATTACGTTTTCACTATTACCATGCTAACTGCATATACAAAGTAGGTGAACTGGCTGCCCAAGTTTGTGAAGCTCTAACTGGAAGGTCCCCTTGTCTTCCGCCAGACAGTAATACGCCAGTCGCGCTGTAACACAACTGGTTTCTTAGTTGTGCAAACTAACTGTATCCGCCGTGGTCCTGGGGCTTAAGTATCTTCACACAAGTCATTGCGCCGAGTGAGCATTCATCACTGAAGGGGTAGAAAAAGGTCTAAATGGCCATGTCATGGGTTTCCGACTCTTGGCTGCAGTCTGGCTGTGGGTAAGGGTGATAACACCAAGTTATACCATCTTGGAACGGATGGCGGGCCACCCATTCTTGGGTAATAGCTTTGTTGTGTTAAGTCTACGGAATCAGTAGTAAGTAGCAGCGGTGAATCCTTCTACTCCAGCATACTCATGCCTTCTGACTACATACATTTAGCATTTCCTGTAGTCACAAAACTTATCAAAGCAACTCTCCAAGTAAGTGTGGAGATTTGTACTAGGGTTGCTAAAATCTAACACACGTCCTACTTTAATACGTTTTGAACGCGATCATGCACAATATCCGTAAAACCTCTACGTAGGCGCCGGTGAAGGCGCCCCATTCGGACCTTGGCAGCAAGAGCGCTCGAAGTTATTAGATGCAAGTTAGATGCAAAAATGCACAAATTCAACACAGCAATTTTATCGTCTGCATTAGGAAGGTGGCATTTGACTCACAGTATCGAAACCCTCTTCAATTATAGCTATATCTTTGAAAGAACCAAAAAATACCAACACAAATATGCATTAAAACCGGAACATCCAAGTTGAATTGAGTCAGAATGCCGATAACACCCAATCATTTTCGAACTCCACAACTACGGGCCCGTATGGATGGCAAAAGAGAGCCATGGTGGTTTGGATTGTGTTACTATGTTGGTTCTCCGACCACGGTACCAGCGCAGTGTGCATCCGAACCAATATCGGTGCCAATAAAATCAGTAAGTCTGCCATAACAAAAGTCGGCAAGTGGTTTAATGGGTATGGGCATTCCAGCGGAAATGACAGCAAGTTTGACCCGAAAATGACTTCAGTGCGCGTCGTTGGTTCGCATTCATTAATAGCGACGTCGTTTCACCGATGTGTTTCTTCTTTTGTATCGCTTAAACGAGCAAGAGCGTTTGGCATTTTATCGCCGTGAGCGTCACCTAGCAAGTGGAGCCGCGTAAGAGGAATACTGTGCCTGTAAGGTCCCCTCGTAGGACGCATTATTTTCGCTGCATTTGGCAGTTTGGCTCGGCACTGGCGCCGATCTGTTCACCTCAACTGGATGTTCTGTTCACAACTACTGTTTTAAATGCTTTGATCGGGTGTTCTTATTACGTTTGTTGGTTGTGGATCTAAAAAGGCATCTACTGGCCTGATTGGAGTAAAAGTACCCTGGTTCGTTTAAACTAGTCTCCGACATACCACCCCAGAAACTCCATAAGGAAAATGCAATCAGCTGAGGCAACCAAGTTGGTCTGGTGCAATTCTGGGGAGGTGGTTACATACCTGGGTCCAAATGTGTTGCATATGCATGAAACCATAACACTGATTGGCGCACAACAAGTTGAGTATTTGATAGTTTAACTAAGCAATGTGGTACATTAGGCGTCCATTCAAAGAAGCGTTGATCACATCCTGTTAGTTTAATGAAACACAACTTGCGTAGAAACAAGTAAGCCATGTTTTCGCGATTCCTTGCAACTGAGTCTCCTAGACTGTAGAATTTGCGGGTCCGCATTGTACAGTCCTGATCTTTTTAATATTAGGCATTCAGCGGCCGGCGTAGTTGAAACGTCCACCGTTGTCCATTGCATTCCCGGAAGTTGATGGATTTCTGACGTCTTCTAGTTACGATGAATTTCAACCACTGAAATGATCATCACCCCAGTTCTGGAAATTAACAGCTTTTTGTAGGTGAAAACAAAAACGGCTTCTGCTCTTGTTTCGTGTTTGAACACTGGTACTTATGTTTTGCTTGCTTTACCTGAGCCCACCGTCTTTTATTTCACTCAGACGATCTCCAAGCAGAGCTGGTCCGCCATTACCTCATCGAAGTGATCAATACTGCTCCGCGAGGAGTGCGACTGAAAGGATTTGCTAGCGAGCCTGTATTCCCAAGCCTGGCAGCGTTGATTCATGAACACACCATCGATCAACTAGCCCTACCTTGCAAATTGATTTTACCACCAGGCCCTACTAATCTACCGTCTTCAGGCACCGGCGCCTTACCACACCTTGTGGTTGGCACCATTGTCAATTCGGACGCTCTCATGGTGGACAATGCTACGGTGACCAGTGCTGGCAGTCTCCTTGGTCCGACGGCGTCAGATTCTGGATCCGTCCAGATGGATAGCACTCAGCAGATGGAGGATGGGAACACAGTACCGATTAATGCAACCGAAGCACCTGCTACCTCTACACACAATGTCCCGCTCGTATGTGTGCTACGGGAGAGTGCAGCGCATCAACGACGCTCGCCAATGGAAATGAACGCAGGACAAGGACTAAGTAAGTCGACTGAGATTGCAGAGGGTTCCCACAGTAAAGTAGACGATTGGTGAGGTGAAAATCGGTTCCGCAATAGAGACTATATTAATGGTTGCTAGTTATATGTTATTAACTAAACCAACTTAAAATTGGTGGAGTAGGGTCAAAAAACCGTTGTTGGATTTTCCCTCCATGGACAAACTCACTTAACTTCGGAGGCTGGAACCTATGGCGGATTGCACTTGTAATGCACCGTTTCCATCACAGTTCCCGCTGGGCAGCGAGTCACATACGCAACGATGAACCCCTGCTATAGTTGAGGGCCGGATTTTGGAACCTATCGGACAGGCCCAAGTATCTGAGAAAATAGTTTGGGTGGGGATCTCTGGAATTGATGTACAAGCTACTACGAGTCCTTCCCAACAATGCCCAAAGCCGTTACATCCTACGCTTGTAACCGCTTTCATTAATTTATTAGCTTTCTCTGAATGCTGTTGCATTTTCTTCATCGTTCTATGCGATACCATCATACCACCGCGAGTGAGTGCAATTGGAGACACTGGAGTCTGGTCGTTAGTTCCGAATTAGCTCAGTAAACGGAACACAACTGGCTTCGGAGGTGTAGATTAAGCTGAATGCTCAGAGGTACATGAAGAATAAAAACATTCTTCTCGCACTTAACATCTCAACACTATCACTGCGTCCCATGTCGTTCGGTATGCATGCATTAAAACCTTAATTTACATGGTCGTTATTCAGCAAGGCAATTACCTCGGTAGACGCTTAAACAGATGACCCACATAACTTTGGAGTCTGTAGTTTCCATCCCAACCATCCTACGGGACTTATCAAGCACCTGCTTTTCAACCATGATAAATCATTGCTCATGCATGCAGTTGCCTTAACTGCGTCGACTGAGTTCATTTTGATAACTGCCGTATGGGGCAGACATTGCCAGACCTGTGGTCAACTCTGGCTGATATTTGAGTGCAACTGCGGATCGGCAGTAGAATTTACCTAATCGTTTACTCCAACCTCATGCATTTCAGCTTTCCGATGTCTTATGCTGGGCTCCGTCGACAGTGCTCAATGGGGCAAGGATCTGTGCTTCGCTAGAGCAGTGGATCAATTGATCCCCCTCACGCAGTTGACCGCGGCCGAGTGTGACCACGGCGTCAGCCGTGTACGGTACACCGAAGTGCAACTACGAGTCAGCGCACACGATGGAATCACCATTATTGATTTGCTACGACGACTATTTCTTCGGCGCCATTTACCAAACCATGTGCTCCTGTTCTGTGGACTAGAGACGAGGAAGAAAGAGTCAGTTGGGCGACAATCGCCTTCTTTCCTTCTTTTGTAAACTTTCATTATCCCAATGCGCCTTGGAGAATGTCCGAGTTGCTAACAAGGTAAAAATGGTTTAATGCAAACTGTTAAAGTTTGACAAGTCCCATAGATAGCCTGGGTGAAATACATGAATTCAGAGAGAAAGTATACCGAAAGGGTAAACCGGGCAACTGTGAACGCAACCTAACTTGCACGTTAGCACATGTGTAGATCCGGTTGCCTGGACATAGTGGAAGGCTGGTGAGCATATTAGTGAGTAGTAGCAGGAGTTATTGAGTTTTGAGAGATTCGTCGCAGTTAGCCTCAGGCAGATAGCCACCACACATCAAAGAAAGCGTTAGATGACCGTTTCGTCCTAGTAGGACTCGTCAGTAGCGCCACGCGCCGAATCCTGGCGGATTCGAACGCATAACCTTAATCATGCACGCAGTGAAAGTGTAGTGGACAGGGCTGGTCCCCAGAGCTACCAATAACTTCGCAAGCCACCAACAATCAAGGTTGCATGCAAGCGATTTCTTGGATGGGTCATGGCTGTCTTGCTGGGTCTAGTGAGCACATTGCTTGCCGGCATCTTAACGCCACTCGATGAACGAGGGTTAAACCACGTAATGAAATAGTATAAAGCATCGTCGAGTCAGTTTTAAAAATGCCTGACCTGGTTACAGAAATGATATTAGCTGGGACATCGTTCCACGTCTAACAAAGGTGGAGAGAAAATTTTTTTGGGATATATGAACCTGCTGCATTGTGTGGCCAGTTTCAGCTGGTGGCCCTTAGTTTTGCGTTCCAATTAAATTTCACATGTTTGTGGCAAGCATGGCAGCGGATTTTCAAGGTCTGATATATCAGGATGATGTCGCACCATAGTCGACGATAACTGTTATTCCCGTCTTCAGCTGCAGTTCCTATGATAAATGTAACCGGCACTTTGCATTTTTCGTCGCGCTTTGTTGTGTGGGCTTAAATGTAATCGGGTCGCATTTTAGCAAGGGTTATCAAGCCTGAATCGCATACACCACATGCAGTCTCATGCAGGTGTTAAACCTTTGCGGGAAGGTTAAAGAGTCACACCCCTCCGAACACCTTCCGCAAGAGACCCACATGTTAATTCCCGGTTTTGGTCGCCTTCACTGATTGCTTCGAATATCAAGAGCATCATTAATCATTACACCGAGGTCGCATTCCTATTAGGCGATCTTCAAGGTTTGGCGTCCCAGCTGCCAACCCCAGCATTTTCGTGTGACTTAACAACTCAGAGAGAACTATGGGTGCGCAACGATGGTAGCTTCCTCAAAACAATCGCTGAACTAAAATTAACGTGGATAAATCCTTGCGTCTGGGGACTGAGACAAGTATGTGACTCGAGCTGGTGGGATGTATAAATAATGGATCACCCTCGACGCTTTGAACAAGTCTGCCTGCTAAGATGTGTGGGAGAATGTCACGCTTTACTTACCGGAAGCTGTTCACATGTTTGTATAGTATTTTGTTATAGCACGCAATGTTTTGGGTGGGTGTTGCCGGCGTGTTGTTTTATCCTAACTGACGAGTATGGTAGAGTAATTACGAGGCGCCAATTAGCCGCTCCAGTTGTCAGGACCAAGGTTTGTCTGTAGGCACAGTGCACTGTGTGTTTTACTGCCGTGCAGTATGGTGGTCTGCTCCGAATGAACCATGTTGCTGTTACAGGACGCGGAAGCCTGGTTGCTGATGAGGATGTGATCAGACGGCTGAGTTGGTTAAAGAACCACATCCATATCTTATTAGTGGAACCTCTGTTCAACTGCTCGCAGGCGCCTTCCTTAACAAGTTCTGTTAGTATGTGGTAATGTGTGATTGTACTTGCAAATTTGATGTGTTTCTGTGGCTACTCGATATAGCACACATAGTCACAAAACATGACGACGTGATTACGTATTCATCATCGCTGGCTTATTTGTCCTAAGCTCTTCGTTCGCAGGCAGCAAATCAAGCGCTAACAGTTTGCTTCCCGCTGTGCGTCAGATGACCGGACTGATATGGCTGAAGGGCGAATTACTCGAAGCAAACGCTTGCATGTCGATTTCGAACAGTCTACTGGGGTGATCCGAACATTCAGGTCAAGAGCTTTGTGGTCAATTTACCAAGCCGAATGTCAGATGGGAGTCCATCCCTTGAGTTGACACTACGGAACGAAACACGACTGCCATAAGTCAGGTGTCACTGCGTCCCAATCACAGACGACATTAGAGTGGACTTGTGACAAATTTCCTCAGGTCATCCACGGGCTCGCTGTACAAGTCCTTGGAGTTAGAAGTAAATACCGCACGATCTTCGCCGGGTTGGTCTTTTCGAACAAGAGCTATACCCTGTATCGCAACTTCAGCAGCGGTAATTCCTGGGCGCAACCACTTTTCGATTATGAATATGCGATCACAAGTATTTATTTCGTGACGAAACATAAGTTCAACGCATTTGTTAAGGAGGCATTGTTTATTGTCGTACATGGAGGACAGTGCCTCTGAGCTTAGTAGTAAGTTGCAGTACGTGCTTTTTTGGGTAGGACAGTGTACCGACCGATGAAACGTCGGCTACTAATTGATTTGCAGTTGGTTCCTTGATGGATTTACTTGTGTCAGATCCAGCGACCCCTCAGGAAGCCATTCGTTCAACTTTTCATGCGTAATGCATGAATTATAACGGTTAGTTTCAACGGCTGACTGAGTAATATCTTCCCAACCGTTGCCGGCGGTCGGTTCAAGGGAATTTCCCACTTTGTTTGTTTGCTTGGAGGGCACAAACTTCAGACACACATACCCCGGCATTCCATTGCCTTTGTTGACATCTTCCTAAGTCCAAGCACCACCTTCAATACCCTTAGTTCACATCCTTTGTAGCTTGGTGAAATAGTTAGTTTGTAGCTCCACTGTGGTACAGTACTATCCGAGGAGAGTATTTCGCGAATGTAGCGCTACGGCTCAGCTCTTGGATTGTTGTTTCCTGCTCGTTATGTTCTACCACCTCCGGAACAGCAGAAATAAAGGTGGTCCGGTAGTCTTCCAGAGCATGTTTCGCGTGTATACAGTCATTCCACGGAACATTCGGGACCACATTCACAGTACAGTACCATTTTGGAGATGAGGTGTCGACAGCAGAACTGCTCTTCCTTCATCAACGGAATTCCCCACAGTTTGAAAAAGTCTCCGTTAACCATAGTGCCTTGAGTTTGGATGGCTTAGCCATAACACTGGTGGTGTTCCCCCAGCTCACGTCGTCCGGTTACCATCCTTTTAATGCATTTACTTTGAATCAGGAACAGTCGTACATATTCCGACCATACACTTGTTTGTTTCCTATTAAACGTGGGTGCAGCATAGGTTGTGCTCCATGATTCTGATGATAAGTATGCAAACAATGCTGCCCATGAATGTTGAAGTTCGCCTCCCTCTTTCCTTTTAACCCAGTGGGAGGAGTTAGGGGTTTAAATTGCCGAGTGTTCTTGGTCGTGACCACAGTCCAACCATCATTTGGGTCATCACAATCTCGGCGTTTCGGGGAAGTTTGGAGGACGGAGAGAACACTGATTGTAATTATCCTAACCTTATGGGTGGTGGTTAGTTCAGGTGCATCTGGTGGTGTTTACATATTGAGTGACGTACGAAACTACATAATATGTATTCTTAAAGGGATGCTTGGTCTTCGTTCTCAGGACTGGAGCGGTACCCACTGGAGAGGACCATGGCTAACACTTCACTATGTTATCCCTGATAAGGTGCTTTTGGTCCTCGTCATTCATTCAGTCGATGACACCAGCTTTTCGTACCTCTGAAAAGTTCCACAACGATTTTGACCAGCGGGGTACCCTTACATGCTTCGCCGAACCAGTGGGAGTCTAGTCCGCTATTGTAGAGTCTCATCTCACTTGACAACTATTTAAAACACTTATGAGGGAAATAGTTAATGTAGCTGGAAAAGGGAATTCCTGTGGTAACATTTCGAAACGAGTTTTCGTGTTTTCATTTTAAGCAGCCTATAATATGCTCTACCGTTTTCTTACTTCACAGGTTTTTACACCCGGAACATCAAGCTCAAGGTATTGTCAACCCCAAGTGAGTACATCCGATGCTTTTTGCATTGTTAGCAACTATCCCTGAGTTGTGTGTCCATTGGTAGAAGCTTTTTGAACCCTTTGTGAGCGTCCTTGTAGAGTGTCCCATGTACATTAATACCGATTGTAGTGGTTTCACATGCCGATCCAGTGGGCTTTGGAGGTGGGCTTCTGTATGACTGGGTTTAGTTGTCTTGCACTGGGGATAACGGAATAGTAACCGTGGTATAATTCCAATAGTTGGCTTGACCAACCTTGGCCTCGAATGCTGGCAGGCTGGTAGGCTATTCTTTAGTAATATGACCTACATGACGCCCACTTGTGGAAATGTTACCAGTCTTTGCGAAGGTGATATCTGTCAGCAGCTAAGCAACGGGTGTTTCCATTGAATTGAATGTACCTTGCCACATACATCTCAAACTACCCAGTCCAATTGGTAAGTCAGATATCATGGACTGACTTTGCGTCTCCCGCTTAGGACTAAATGATATATATATATATATATATATATATATATATAAAGAATGTCCAAGATTATGTCTTACTTTACATCCGGTTTTCTCTGCGTGGGAGACTTGTGAGCACCTACCGAAGTGACGATGGTTTGTGTGAGCTACTGTGGTGCTCCATCCGCCTCAAGCGCGGAGAACCGCTTGTGGGCGCAGTTTATCGCAGCGCCCTGAGTCGTTGTTTGGATTGGCTGCCCATTCTTCGGACCCACATAAGTCGTCCACACTTTCTACTTATGGACGCTTTTAACTGTCCTCGAATACGATGGCCTGATGTGCATTTGATGCCTGGACATAGTGAGGTTGAAGCAAAGTTCGTGGATTTGGTACTTTAAACTGGTGCATCGCAACCAACCAACACGCATATCAACACGCTCAACCCCGTCCTGTCTCGACCTGATGTTAACGGGCTACGAACAACGAGTGCGTGACGTTAGGATCCTGGAGCTCTAGGCTACGGGCGACCACTCAGTACTGATAGCTGATATTGAATTATCTTTGCCGTATTCACATCCGCTGCAACCAGCTCCCAACTACTGGAAAACGGACTTCGATGGTCTAGCTCGAGCGGCGAGCCAACTGGATTGGTCTCTTTTACATGCTGCAGCTGTGGAAGATTGTTGGATACTTATAAAGGTGAGATTGACATCATTATGTTCCCAATTGGTGCCATTGAAATGTCGGAAGGTTAGGCCGATTAAGCCTCATTGGTTTGACAAGGAGTATGGAAACCTGGCTGGGAGGCGGCGCAGAATGTGGGACAAATTCCTCCTCTCTGGCTCTGCCAATGATTACGAAGGGTATAAATGTCAGCGGAACCTCTGCAACAGTGCAATAAAGAATAAACGCCGACATTTCGAGGAGCAGCTCGCATTAACCACGAAGACCGCCCCAAAGAGAATCTTTGCATACGTGAAGCGACGCCTGAAGCCGGCAGGTGATGTGCCAGTGCTGGATGGCACAGATGGACAGCCCCTAACCTCCAGCACTGAGCGTGCGTCCGCTTTGGGGGTGCACTTCCCTTCTGTATTTGCGAATAACCAGGTGTCTGTTCCGAGTTCGACGTGTACCGGTTTTGCCGAGCTCGATAGTCTGCATTGCGGCGTTGAAGAGGTAGCTCAACTACTCGCCAACCTTGACGGCACCAAAGCTGCCCGACTTGATGGGCTTCACCCACTGGTTCTCAAGTTACTTTCAACCATCCTCTCTCCTGTAGTGACTGACCTTTTCAACAGGTAACTGTCCGAAGGGTTGTTGCCGCTTGACTAGAAATGTTCGGTGGTGAAGCCCATTCCGAAAGGCGGCGACCCTAGCAAAGTAGACAGTTACAGGTCAATTTGTCTGACACCTACTTTGGCAAAGGTTGCTGAGAAAATCGTGAAGAGGGGATTGCTGCATTTGCTACAGTCAAACAAGGTCCTGACGCCCGCACAGCACGGTTTTATGCAAGGCCGCTCATGCATTACGAACCTGCTTGTGACGAGGCATGTGTGGTTGAAGGCAATAAGCAAGGGGAAGTCCGTCGACGTGATATTCATCGATTCCAGTAAAGCGTTCGACAAGGTCAGTCATGAGGTTCTCCTTCACAAACTCAGCATGTGTGGTGTCGGTGGCTCACTGCTCCGGTGGATACGCGACTTTCTTGTTGGACGAAAGTGGAGGGTACAGGTCGACGACCATCTAACTGACTGGTACCCCTCTACAAGTGGCGTGCCTCAAGGCACTGTGCTGGGGCCCACTCTGTTCCTGATCCACATCAACGATCTACCGCAGCTTCTCCGGTCGCCGTGTGCCTTGTTTGCGGACGACATGAAGATTTGGAGAGAAATCGGCGCTCCTGATGACTGTGGCCTACTTCAGCAAGACCTCAACCGCCTATCCACATGGTCCGCGGAAGTTCTTCTCCCGGTCAACCCAGCCCAGTCTATATTTATGAGCCTGGGGAAGCGTGCTAACGGCCGAACCTACACCCTTGACGGCCAAACGCTATATCCCACACCCTCCGTGAAAGACCTAGGTGTAGTCTCACGCTACGATTTGAAGTCCGTGGACAACACCAACAGGCTATATGGTAACGGACTGCGCATGCTTCGGGCGCTCAAACGTAGCTTCGGCACATGGTCTGAAGAGGTTGCCACTCGCATGTTCTCTTCTATCGTTAGACCAATGCTAGAGTACGGTTCGCCCGCCTACTTTCCTATTACCCACGGCGAGACACAAAAGATCGAACGGGTCCAACAAGTTGCTACCAGGCCCATCCCGAGTTTACGTGGCTTTGGGTATGAACACCGGTGCGAGAAACTAGGACTCTACACCTTGTCCTACCGTCGGGTGCGAGTCGACCTCATTATGACCTACCGTAGTCTACATCTCGATGACTTCCCAATGTTAAGGCCAATGCTGCACTTACGAGGGCCATGCAGCGCTCGCAGACACAGATACAAACTTGTCGTGCCGGAAGTAAAATTTGTTCCCCACCCACTGTGCTTCGAACGGAGAGTGGTAAACATTTGGAACAGTTTACCTGAACATGTGATGGAGGCAACATCTGTGCAGCAGTTCCAAACGTTGTTAGATTTGTATTTTACCACTATTCGATTCAGAGAACGTTTGCACACTTACGATGACATATCACATTTGTGAATCCTGAAATATCGTGAGTCAGCTATTTTACATGTTACATGAGAACGACAACAATATTCACGGCTGACAACTTTTATAACGTTTTTCACCATATTTCGAAAGAGTTGTACAGAACACATTTCTACTTGCTCTATAATACAGTATTCAGCATATATATATATGTATATGTATATATATCTACTGAAATCAACCTAGCTTTTAGGTTGCCTAGTGATAACCATTATCCTTGGGCTTTAGTTCGTCCAGCGATATGAACCATTAACAGAGTGCCTGTATTTGCTTACGGATAGCAAAACGGTAATTTGTCCGTTTTCATCGTACTGCATATTTCCTTGATTTTTAGAATTTTCGGCATCGTTGTGCGCAAAGGGATCACTGAATACACCACACATGTGTTCTCCGAATGCGATCCTGCACACCCAGCGGAATCCATCGTGCAACACATCAGAACTACATATCCTCACCTCATGTCTAGATAGGCGCTCGATTGCAACTTTTCGGATGCAACTTTGCGGCATTTCCTGATCTGGTGTTTTCCGCACCGGGTCCCAAATCAATGCACTATCTGTTTTCGGACCTATCCAAACAGCATAAATATCCCACTGAATACCGTACGCAAGTATCCAGCTGCGAGAGAAGCTATAGCAAAATTGTTAATTACAGAACGTAACTTGGCTTCGTTTTCTGTTTCTGACAAACTTGCGCAATTGGGCTGCAACTGTAACATTCGCTGCGCAATTTACTCCATCGATGCTGTACACTATTTTCTGTACTTTACACGCGCTTCACAAGGGACGCATATTGCAATCCTTGCGTCGATGTTTTCACTGGTTTACGATTTCATCATTCTTAGCCGGTTTTTCGACCATCGGCCAATCTATCAAATGCTCGTTGTCTACGGTAGTTGCCGATGGATCCAACTTTTCCAACGTTCATCAAGATGCGTTCTTTTCCACCCCTCTCCAAGCCATTCTTTCGAGTGTGAGATTCCAAAGATTGTTGACCGAGACAACATGAAAATTCTTATCCGTCGTTCAATACATTTTAAATTAACCATTACAAAGGACTGCGTGTCATCATATTTTCTGCGTATGACTTTGTGCGTACAAAGTCCTTATTTGTGTTTTCACTCTCTGCCCCCAAACACACCCCACTCCCAATAGTCGTACCGCTCATACTAAAGACTTCTTTGTTAAGCTTGCCTTGTGGACACCTTTCATGATCAGCGTTACGTGTAAACATTTGTACAACCGAAGTGCAATAAACCAACGTGGTTTATTAAAAACATGGAAACGAATGCCTTCCTTCTTCGTTAAACAGTCGGGCCGATGTAAACAAAACTGATTTGCGAACGCGTTTAGAATAGTTAAACGCTTTCTTGTAGGCGGTACAAAGTTTTGGCATTACTCGGAAACACATTGTACATTTCACTGTACATAAATCGCTATACCACCGTGTTTATTTTCGTCATTTATCACTTGATCTTCGACCTGTGCTCTAAGCACAGTTGCATTCTACAACGTTTGCTCTCCGTTCACAGTTTCTTTGCCAATTTAACTCACTGTTTGGTATAACGTTTGCCTATCGCTCCCTACCGAACCGACCATGTAGGGCTTATCCGACCCACGCAGTTATGGTCAGCTGACATACTCACCGACACACAACTGTGGGTTATGTTTGACTGAACCTGTTCATGCAGCCACCATACTAACCTGCTTACTTTCTTCGCAGATTTTCGTTGAAAGGCATCCGTAATTTCCATCGGTTGTTAATGCAAAGATGGTATTCGTCTAACCCTATCAATGCTTCGGTTTCACAACCGTATGTACCTTGTCGAGTTAATCCAGGTTTGGACATCCTGGAGGCAACGAGCCTGGATGCGATCGGAACCAAGTATTTTGTAATCAAAAGAACACGAGACCATAGGTGAACAGTTGTTTTCGGTGGTTCTCTTCAGACCATTACAATCATATTTAAGGGTAAAATAATGAACTGAAATCGAGTCATTGGGTCAAGTTACATAGTTAATTAACGGATCAGTGAGGGAGGCTAAAAGTTGGCCATTGATCTGACAGGTCGATTGCATGTTATCGAGCTCAGTATCGTTCGTTCTAGCAGGCCAGGGAAGCTGTAAGGCATGGAGCAAGTTCTTTTGCGAGCATAATGAAGGTTGAAACAACCGAATGCAAATCGATTCAGCTGTCGCGAGCGCACGGAGGCGCAAACCTCTTGATTGATGATGGGGTACCCTGTAAATTATCCTGAAGGCACGCTAAAAGTGGTAGTCAAGTCGACATTCCCAGCAGCCAGGTTAAAGTACACATTTTCTACTGAACCACTTGTTTGTCCACGCAATAAGGATACGCTGCGATTGCTGACCTCCTGTGGTTATTTATCAGTTCAAGTGCGTTTGTGACGCTACTTATATTGGTCGAACGGCACGGCACTTGTCCAAACGCGTGAAGGAGCACTGCACGCGCTGGTTGCGTCAAGGAGGAAATGGGGTCATTAACAGCGCCGTTTTGGCCCATATTGTCGACACGGGGCACCAAGTCGGTCTAAAGCGTGCCTTCAGGATAATTTACAGGGTACCCCATCATCAATCAAGAGGTTTGCGCCTCCGTGCGCTCGCGACAGCTGAATCGATTTGCATTCGGTTGTTTCAACCTTCATTATGCTCGCAAAAGAACTTGCTCCATGCCTTACAGCTTCCCTGGCCTGCTAGAACGAACGATACTGAGCTCGATTGTCACAGATCAAACTCGACAACTTGTAGTCGACCTGCCAGATCAATGGTCAACTTTTAGCCTCCCTCACTGATCCGTTAATTAACTATGTAACTTGACCCAATGACTCGATTTCAGTTCATTATTTTACCCTTAAATATGATTGTAATGCTCTGAAGAGAATCATCGAAAACAATTGTTCACCTATGGTCTCGTGTTATTTTGTACTCAGTGGCCTCCAGCTACTACAAGGAGAGAACCAAACACCCTGAACTACATTAACGATAGCTGTGACCTATTAGTTTTGGTATTCACACTAATTATTGCGTATCTAGGTTATCTCACATAAATTTACATTGGACAATGGTTTACTACGATTTGGGCCATAGGCGGTCTGCCAACTGGTACCGCTACACTGAGTACCTCGTCTCACAAGTGGCTTCGTCCTTGTTGGAACTTAGACGTTGAAGGTGGCCACAACCTGGACTAACACCGTTGACGTCGTGGATTTCCGGTAAACACTTCTATCTACCGACTTAGCAAGAAAGTAGCGCCTAGGAATTAGATGAGTGATTTCGGAGTACGCACTATGTGCCTGATCTTCGCCAGGAATTCTCTAGTTAGATAGCTTTTTACCTCAGAACTTTTCTCGGTTATTTCATGTAATCAAATCGTAGCTAGCGCAACTAAGACATGTGCGTCGACCCGAGGGTTATGCGAGTAATCACCGCCACTTCCAACTTTGTTGGATCTTTTAAGCAGGAAAACGGACAAGAGTAAACGAACACATGATGCCGACTGACATGAGTTCTTAGCCACCGAACGCTATGGGTTTCATTCTAATCTCATTTTTCGGCTAACTGTTTGGGGTGCGGTACATAACCCTGAGCTGAACTATCCTCTTTGTTTAAGCTGACTGCTGGCATTCCAAACGCTAGCGTCGCATCAGAGGTGTGGGATTTTTGGCGCCACGTAATTCCAAGGTTGTATCGCACCAGCAATCTGATCCTTGTTCACGCCGTCCGGATACAGTTGACTCAAATGACCGTGGAATCAGTGACCTCGCAGCGGTAGTCTGAACACTTTGACATTCGAGTTGTGACGAATGGCCGCAAACTCATTGGCGGAGCAAAATGGTGATCGCATCGGTCACTGTAAGACAGGGTGGCAGCCTGCGCTGATCATTAGGACGTTGATGCCATCCGAAAAGATTGACAAACACCTGGAATGATGTGACCACAGTAGCCTACTCTGGTTGAGTCTACCTAGACCTACATCGTAGGTTAATGATGCGGCATATAGTGTAACCGAAGTATCATAAGCGAGCCATTCTTTTAAACCAGCTCGTTACAGAGCGACATCGAAAAGCTCCACTTCAGTGATGGTCCCAGTGATGGTATTGGCAATCGCTAACTTCGACGTCAACCGGGGCCACAACTGAGATTGCATGTCGCAGTCCGAGACACATGGTGGGTGCTCCAAATTCCGAAAACCAGACAGTTACAGCTTAAAAGTAACGATAATGCTAAGCTTCATCATCGGTCAGTAAGGATTCTAACGCACATGAATCAATCATATCCTATAGACTTTGAGAAAGTGGGTATTGTTGGGAGATTAGGCGTACTAAAGTACACTTAATAATCAGTCAAAGCTGTTCGCCGCCATCACCCGAGGCGGGTTGCCAACTTCATTCTATGCACCCACTTGTCCATGTTGCATCTGGTGCAAACTCAAAGGAATGAGACATGGAAGCATGTGAATGGTAGTCACGAATAATTCTGAATCGGATATTACTTAAGCAAGCACTTCCGCGATGACGATTAACAACCTCGAAGCTAGTGGTTTAGGTGGCAGGATCGAACAAGTAGGCGCTCTGACTATGCTTGCATCAAGCAGACCCATACTTGGCATATTTCGCTATAAACGCCACCAAATGTGTTAAAACACACGTTAACTTGTGTGGATTGAGATCAGCTGCTACCAGGTTGCAGCACACGCTCCATGTCGGACGTGCTCTTCAGATATCGTCCAAGGTATACGACGAAAGCCTACGATTAAGTTGCAGTCTTCGGGACGGTGTTCTCTGCCTGTCAGTCCATCTCCCTGGCAGAAGTGCCCGAGAACTTTGTCCCGATGTCCGTGTTCTAGATTCTTTGGTCGACTGCGTTCAGTCGTCCACTGCTACCTTCGGCAAGTTGAAGCTTTCCACCAATAAATCGAACGGGAGGTCAGTAGGCCTTGCTTGTTCTGGTTGGCACAATGTGGGCCGTAACTGGTTTGCATGCCGTGCCCAGATCTGTGCGCCCACCATCACGTCATAGATGACGCTTCCGCGCTTGCTTTTGATTGCCCCTGGCGTCCATTTTGCATGGCCTTCACGATAGTCACGTACTAGCACCTTCTGTCCAAGCGTAAACGATCGATTCTTTGCTCCATACCGCCGGTTAAAATCCTGTTCCATTCTGCGGTTGCTTCCACCAACCGAGGATTCCGAACGCGGTCGGATGGCGTCTAAAGTACGCGCAGCTTCCTGTTCATCATAGACTGTGCTGGAGAAAGTCCGTCTGGCCCTTGTGGATTCGGTGTTGATCGGTAGAGAAAAAGGAAGCGGTCAACCACCTCCGCTATACGTCCCTCCCCTTTTGATTTGTGGAGAGCTCGCTTGAACGTATTGACAAACCTTTCTGCCTGGCCATTTGACTGTGGATGAAATGGCGTCGAGCGAACGTGCTGGACGGCGCATTGCTTGCAAA